TGAGAATATACTTGTTATTTGATTAGATAACCATTTTTATAAGAAATTTTAAAGTAGTTAGGCTGTATTTATCAAGTCTGTTGCTACAATATACCTAGTATTCGCTATATAGAACCAGAGAAGAGGTTATTAATCGATCCAAAATTCAGACATGCATCTGTCTCCTTGATTAAGAAATAATAATAAGAGTGTAGAAAACCTCATTTTTTTTGTACGCAGGCTTTATTTAGCCTAAACTTGAGGGCAACGTTTTTTGTTGGAAGAGGCGAATAAAAGGAATCCTTAATTCGGACTCATCGTTAGCTGAAGGATGACTAGCTTGAAGTTTTGACCGTGGTTATGTGCAAATAAGTATTCTATGCACTATCTCATAACCATGAGGAACCCGTTATAATCTTTTATCTGTTATGTGACATACATTATTGGAGCAGGAAATAATGTTTTATGATGGTTCACTAAGCCCAATGAAAAGAAATTGCTTCATGCTTGTGCTCTTTCTTGTATTTCCATTCTTGTTTTCATGCTTGGTAAATTATTTTAAAGCATGATTTTCTGCTCTAACGATCTCTGTCAAAGGATAGTCAAGCAGGGATGCATTGGGGTCGCATAACTTTTCACTTGGGACTTATTCTCATCAATCTACATTCATAAATAGACTTTCCTTCTACTCGCTTCTTCAGACAAAAGACTATCATTAATATATAAAGAGCTTATCCTTAACCCAATTTTTCTTCATATACAAGAAATTTCCTCCACAAAAAGTAGTTCTAATTTCCAATACTGGTTGAGTAAATTCAGGTTTATAGTATTTTTAATAAACCGACCTTGTCACTTAGGGTTCAGAAACTTCCAGCAAAGAGGATTATATAACTATACGATTAGACTTTACAGTTTTAAATTGTTTAGATAACAAACTCTTCAAGTATTTTATCCTGTTAGAGTCATGAAACAAATGATTTCAGCTAATATAATGCATTCAAACAAATTTTTGCAACTATCAATTTAAAAAATAAAATCCATACGATACACCAAAAAACATCTAAATTAAGCTATTTTTGACGTGTATCGTCTCACCAAACTACCAGCAGCGCGCCCCTCGACCAATTTTTCCGTATGTCTTCCAGGCATATCCGCAAATCTTCATTTATCCACGATTCTGATTCGGAAGATGAGAAGGGTGAAAAAAATTCAGAATTTCATAGGCCCGATACTATCGAGATTGTTAATTCAATACGGGAACTTCAGGCCTTGCGAAAACGGCCCGTTGGTATCAGCCTAGAAGCATTGCGTGTTGGTAACACGAAGACGATGGCTAGCGAGCTTTCCACGGACCCATTTAAACTTAAGACAGGGGGATTAGTATCTATGCGGGATGTTTACAGTCACAAACCTAAGCTAGATGAGGATGAAGTCGAGTTAGGTCTCACTCATGTTTTTGCCGCCGAGACAAACAAACGGGATGAGGACGCTGAAATGTATACCAGCCTTCATTCTTATAATCTAAAGGTTGAAATACATTGAGGAGGAAATGGCAAAACGCAAAGGTCTGAATAGAGAAGAAGATGACGTTACAAAGCAAGTTTAACCCTTTTTATTGGTATTAGTATGAAAAACATGGGATCTGATATCCTTTCCAATGTTCCTGATGTTCTGAAGCCAGTTATTGGGCAGCAAAAAGAAGATATGCTTTCTAATCAAATGCTTTGTGGGATACCAGAGGTAGACTTGGGGGTTGAAGCAAAAATGAAAAACATAGAGGCAACTGAAGAAGCTAAACAGGCATTATTAAAAGAAAGATACGATAATCGCAATAAGAGAAGACAAACTGATCTTGCTCCAGCAAATATATCGGTTAACTTTGTTCAACACAGTAGATGGAGTGAGTATTTTTTTAGTAATTTCTTGCCTTCCTCATCCGTTATTCCGTCCTAAATTTTGTTGTTGTTCACATTCTTAGTTTTTTAAAAAGGCTTTTCCAATTATCACATTTCAGATCGTCTTATCTTAAAATGACTTTTTAGATTAAAATGTTGTCATTAACTCCGAAATTTGACCTTGTAATGCTAGCTATTCTATTTTCCCTCATTAGATAGTCAAGGTGATCCAACTATTCGGCACGAGTTTAACTGGCGCAAACGTTCCTTTACTTCTAACTCAAACGAAAAACCTTATCGCCGCCCAGATCATAATAAGTTGCCTCCACTTGAAGGTAAGCTTCAATCCCTTAAAGATTTTTTCCCGTCTATTTGATTAATCACGATTGCTTTTTAATTGAAATTATGGG